CAAATAGTGGTCAAACCCCATGACATGTCTTCGCTTATATCAATGAATGTGGACAATTGTGCATATACATCCGACCGGGGGAGTGTCCATAACTTGGATAGACAAAATACTAAATGCACCATGGAATTTTTAGAAGCTTAGCACTTAGGTCAATGAGCAATCAACAAGCACATTGAAATCGATCCAATTCACCAACCACTCATGAAAATTATGGACAAACATGGAACCAAAAATCAAACAAATGAGAGACACAACCAAAACAAAGGAGTAAACAATCATAGGTTTAAGGTCGACAAGAGCCAATCAACATCGAGATCTATAGGAGAATCTGTGAATCACATGTGGAGAAATTCCAACACTTCACTTCCGCGTGAAGTTTGTGCTGATGATGTCGTTCAGAAGAACGATGAAAGCTCCACGACCAAACCATCCAGCTCAGAGAACAAGACTCCATCAAAATTATACACCTGAGCTATAAATCTCCACCATCTCCAGGAGTCCACTTCTCTTCGTTTGATGATTTAATGGTGCCCAACAAATGATGATCCTATTTTATTGCTTTCGGTTCACATTTAAGATGACGGTAAACTCTTCATTAGTGGTTCTACTTTTTTATGAATTTATGTGCATTTATTACCCTTGAGTTCAATACATCAGAGTTTTTACTTATTTTTACGACTACCTTTTTTAGTGTGAATATCTTAATTCACTCAACTTTTCCTTGGGTTCGATTATTTTTCTGGCCTTGTGCACTACGACGTTTTTGCCCGGATCGAAATCGTTTGATGTATTGTAGTGCCGCGATTCGTTAACCGTTTACTGCGATAAACGTTAGAATTCTAAACTTAACGGTGCGTAAAATCAGAAGACAAAGGATAGCAGCAACTACAGTTTATTGTCGAATGACTCAGGTTCGAAAGCTAACAACACCTGAGGGAATTTGAACGAGCGAGTGAACAGGCGAACAAGCGAAGGAAACGAACGAGGAACAAGCGAGCGAATAGCAAGCAATTACATAGGCAATTTATAGTCAAATTTAATAAGGGCACAGCAAAGCAAAACAAAGGCTGATAATAATATTTGTGTGCGTACATATATGGGGAGGAGTATGAGTCATCGGATGATATTTAAGCAGTCAACATTTCGGCTATAGTGTCATGTGCTCTAGTGGTATAGCAGTGCAAAGAGTATGCAAATTGTTACTATCCTAATGACGATGTCTGTTAAGTAAGTTATAAAAAAGGGCTTAACCAAAATTGGCTATAATCGAAATTGATTGTAGATGGTTGCTATAGTATCTTACTCCAATCTGCCTTCATCTTCGAATTTTATTACCAATTTACGCAGTTATCTTTTAGATGCTGTCTAAAATGTAATGTGAACTGTTACATTTTTAAGCTTGATTCATTTAACTAGAAATTTAAAAATAACTTTTGTCAATTATACCATTCAAGTTTCTTTTAAGTCATATACTTCTAAACCATCACATAAATATCACACTCCAGAATTTGAAGGGCAGAATGATGTATCAAAAGTAAGTGAAACTAATTTTCATCAGGTCATTAGTCATTATGAAAAATACCTAATCTTCAATGATTTCTGATTACATCAAGCATATATATGAAATATTACCTACGTAAAACCATATTCTTCATTTATTTCTGTGCATCTTTATAAACAAAAACAATTAATATAAAGGGAATTCGGAACAAACATCAAAACAAAGAATTTGCCAAATTAGTCTTTAAAGAAAAGAATACTAGTAATTATTATACAACAACATTGGTGAATGCACACAAGAACAACTGTTTTTTGTTTCGTTTACCATGTAGCTATTGAAAGTAAAAATACTGCTAATGCTTCTAATGTCTTGGTTGGTGTTCACATTAGAGATGAATCAACACGATAACTTTTGGTTCTGTAAGTTGTGTACTATCAAATTTGAAAAAGTGTTTTGTTTTTAAATTAATGATTTGTTACTTACCTTTAAGATCAATTACATGGAAAACAAATCTTAATAAATGAAATGAATATTTATTAAGGATTATTTATACTTGCGTACTTTCATAAAAGCTGGAATTATAGTCAGAATCGAGCATCGCACACCATTATAAATCAGCTGATTAAAAATATTGATCACTCAATAATGTTAGATAAGATTCTTAAAAAATATAGTGAGATGTGAAATATCTCAAAGTTGTATTTCCTTTAATGTTTTTGTAGCGGAATGCCTTGCAAAATTATTTATTTAACGAAGGTAACCTGTTGTGCCGCTTAAGAAGAATTAGAAACAATGAAGTAGTTGACATTAAAATGATTGTAGTTGTCTTCTTTACTGTTAGTGATAAATTTTGAAAGTATGTCTATAGGTGTCAAACAATTAGTGATTGCTTTAAGTGCTGTTAAAATATAAACTCAATATATTCAGGTGTTCACCTTTGTATCGCCCAAATATATGATGATTTAGAATCTTATGAAACAAATTATTTATGGCTGTAATCACGATCGAAATTGAATCCAAACTAGTTATGTCGAGATTACTAAAGCACATTGTTATTAAAGCGATAATTACTGAATAAATTATTTGCTTTAATTTTCGTCTTAAAACGTTTTGGGGAGCACATAAGGAAAAGGTGTAAAAAAACTGTCTATCTATGCTGGAGTTGGTGTATATTAATAACTTAAACTACAGTTGTTTTAATTTTTATCCAAAAATTTTCTTTACAATGATATCATCCACTCAAGCTATACTATTATATTTATAGTTGATCAGCAAGTAAAGTAGTCTATTGAAAAAGAGGAGAGTTATATAACTTCAAGTGTTAAAGGAGGGTTGCGTAATGAACAAGAATCTAAGAAAAGATAATAAGATGAAACCAAATGTGTGGAAGATAACTGTCCATTTAATGAGTATGAAAGAAGTGAAGAATAAACAAAAAAGTAGATGTGATGATAACGAATAATTAAAAGTAAACATTTTCTTTACTGAATTATCTCCATTTGTGAATTATTCATTAATTGGAATTTGCAGAAGTCCTACAAACTGAAGTGGTTCCATACTTAAAAATATTAGGTCACAGTTTATAACCGACCACAGTAAAGCTTATAAATTCAGTGAACATGTCGACCTAACATTGTAATAGAGTATTAGTTTTCGACTGTTAACACTTCGCTATACATAAGTAATAAATACTTTAATTAACATAAATATTAAAATAGGATTAACACTACACTACCACCTTTTAGCACTACAATGATTTACTATTTGCTACTGCCTAATTACTTATTTTATTGCTTATTATCCTAAGAAAAATAATTTATCATCAAACTTGAATGTGTTTATTATAATTACCTGTATTTTTGTTGTGACTGAGTTTGATATGAGATTTGCTGCAACGTTTATGTGTAGTCTTCTTCAAACATGTAATCTTTTTATAGTATGAACTGAATTTCGACATTTCAGAATAACGGTTCTAGATAATTATGGTGGTTAATAAATAACAAGGTTAGCAATTACAGCAAACAGTGATTTAAATGTAAAGTGGTTCGATGACATATTCTGGATAGAAGTAATCCTAGGGATCTACTGTATCATACATAGTGGTTAGCGCACGAGTTTAATTTAAAAGAGGCTAGAGTCATTCAGATCCATATATTGCATTCCATTAGTCAGCTAATAGCTGTACTCAAGAAAAGTTCCGGCATCTATCTTATATTCTACTGTGTACGATACAGTCTAGATCGAACAGTACTATATTAATAAATTCACTCCTTACTCTATTTTCGATTTTCACATTGTTCTTATTTCACTGGCCTGATACTATCAGCAACAACCTGCTGTGGGAGAGGAAAAACCAGCTTCCAGCTGAAGAGGAAATTAGGAAAAGACGTTGGAAGTCGATAAGATACACATTGAAGAAATCACCAAACTGCATCACGAGGCAAGTCCTAACTTTGAATCCTAAAGGGAAGAGGAAGGCCAAAGAACACATTATGCCGTGAAATAGAAGTAGATATGAAAAGGATGAATGTTAACTGGAAAGGATTGCCCAAGACAGGATTGGATGGAGAATGCTGGTGAGCGTCTTATGCTTCTCCACTAAGGGTAACAGGAGTAAGTAAGTAATATTTCATATGTTTCATCCTCTGGCCATAGCTGTACTACTTAAAATAATTTTCCTACTTTTGGTTTTATACCAGTAGTTGTTTTGTTATTCGCATTTCTAATTGCGCTTATGGGAATCTTCTTCATGTAAACCGATAAGTATTTGTTCTAGACTCTCTCTTGGTTGTTTCTGTGTGTCAGAAATATCAAACATCCTTGCAAGTAAAGCTACCTTGTATCTATACTTTTTACACAATATATTCCAATTCGTTTTACAGCATATGACACTGTGGCCACAGAGACATTTATACATTCATATCAATATCCTTTTATCAGCAACAAGTTACTGTGGGAGACAACAAACCAGATTCCAGTGGAGGAATAAATCAGGAAGAAGCGCTGGAAGTGGATAAGACACACATTGAGGAGATCACCCACATGGAATCCTGAAGGCCAAAGGATAAGAGGAAGACCAAAGAACACATACCGAGAAATGGAGACAGACATGAGAAGAATAAACAAAAACTGGATAGAACTAGAAAGGAAGGCCCAGGACAGAGTGGGTTGGAGAATGCTGGTGGGCGGCCTATGCTCCATTGGGAGTAACAAGCGAAAGTAAGTAATAAATATCTTTTAGTCTTTATAAGCATACTAATTCTTTAAATATATGTTAACATTTTTAATGTTTTAATTGCTTCTGTGGATAAGAGTGAGGAACCCTTCCTTGAACTACACTTTAGAAGACCATCATAGCCAACCTCGTTACTGGACAAAAGTCGTCAAAAATAAGGGCCGTTAGCTCTCTACTTATGTTCATTTGCGTTCTAATTAAGAAGAAAACACTAGTCAAATTCAACTTGAAATAAGTTATTCACACCGGGAAATCTAGAGTATTATAGGTCACAGTATATATTTATTTTCACGAAAAATAGAACTTTTAGTCTAATAGATATCAATATACACTGAAGATACGATAAACAAGAACAAGCAAAATAATTACCTATATTTATTCATTAAAATTATGAATAAAAATGGTTAACAGAATACAGCGAAATTATCATTATCAACATTTACATAAGTATATGAACTAAATTTTGTGTGAATAATAGTTTTTCTTTTTGATCTGCATCTATGATAGACAATCATTTTGACACAAACATGTTGTGGTAAAGAATACAAATAATAGTCAATAAAATGAAAATAAACAAAATGAATATTATTCATATTATAGTTAACCGTGAAAGAAGGTCAAGTGAAGTTAGAGGATAATGAAACCATAAAAATAAACACTGCCATAGCAAAAACATATACATATAGTGCCTATAAACTATATTAATGTAACTTATCAATGTTAAATGCTTTGATTTAAGAATCTGAAAACAGAACTCTTAATTAAATGTGATAAAGTTTATCTATTACTTTCTGATAGTTTCAAAGGAGTTGAGTTTTGAAACTATCAGATATAAGTATTGTGTGAAACCTATCTATCAGCCTAGACTATTAAATAATTTATTAGTGAAAATAAATAGTTTAGTAAATAAACGTTTTTAACATGCATTGCGACAAGAAAATAGAGCCAAATGAAGCTAAAGATGAGATTCAGAATTATAAATAACTCTGGATAGTCAAAATTAGCAGATAGAACGTATTTGATTCGAAATGCATACAATCAGTCTATGAGTAACAGCGTAGTAAAATTAATAACATTGCTCAAGGCACTAGAATCGAGGAATATGAGATGACTGTGATAGTTTAAGTGAGATAATCAAAAAATTGAATACTTCATGGGCATCAATGATTTCTTCTTCAACTGTTAGCTTTCTGATCGTGAATAGATGTTATTCAGATAGTAGGATTCAATGAACCCTCAGAAATAGAATCAGAAAAAATATATATCGCCAAATTATTTTCATCATGTATTTGTTTATCACTTAAGAATTGACATTATTTGAAGTATTAAGAACAAATTGTCGACGAAAAGGTAGTGGAGCTGAAGGTCTGTTTATATTTGTTCGGGATTTAGGAGGTTTCGAAAAATTTGACATATTATAACCACAGTCAACTGAGAGTTTCGTAAAGTAACTTGGTTTTCCATTTTGTTCCTGTTCATCATCTGAAGCCGATTCTTTTAGAGGAGCTGAAGATAACAGTAGAGGTTCTGGTCCTGAGCCAGTATGAGCCACCAAAACATCATTTGAAAAGTGTACACTACGACTTTTTGGAGTATCAAGTTCACTTGAGCTTCCTATACTAAACCGTGAAGTATTTCTTGGTTTACGGGGTAAAGAAAGTCTTTGATTCGGCTAAACAAAATCAGAAGTGAAAGAAGAGATATTCATAGTCTGACAAGTTTAGAAAGCACAATTCATTCATATTTCTCTTAGTGATGATTTAATACATTGGATGAATAACCACTAAATATTCTCAACTGAGATCATAAACTATATCTGAATGCACTAATTTTCTTATACTGTATTTTTTTGGAATGATTTGGAATGACTTCGAAAAAATTAAACTGAGGAGCGCATTATACTAATTATTTAATAGCTTAATACATTACCACAACTGATATTAAGATTAAACTACTAAAATCAATAAAAGTAACTGATTTACAAAGTTATGTAGATGCTCCTTTCTAACGGCTTTTTATTTGAATTCATATGAATAGCTCTTCCGTTGCTGATCAACTTCAATAGACTCTGTCCTTTTTCACAGCGGGAAAAGAGAACTTAGTTTTCTGAGAGCAAAATAATACTCAGCTTATATATTACTAGAATGATGATTTTCTAGTCGGTAGGCAGATGCTGAAAAAATATTGAGTATTGAAATCCGGTAATCAGGCGATCGAGACTTAAACCAAATGTTTGCCTAAAAGCCCTTGTTACCTAGGTTCCAGAATTGATTATTTTAATTTCACACCAACATTTTTTAATTTGTCTTACTTATTATTGTACTCAAACTTAGAGGACAGATAAATTTACTTACAAGCTGTGTTCGGTATGGTAGTAATTTAAAAGAACTTTAGACGATCAAATAATTTCAATGTACTAGCAAACTGTTCACTTATAAGTGTAATGAGGGTAAATTTATGAATCATCTTACCCGATCATTGAATTGATTTAAATTTCGTTGTGTTGCTTGATAATTATCAGATTCTGAAGGATTAATACGCAGCGAATGACGACGCCATAGCTCTTTGTGATAATCTAAATTGGGCTGTATTTTGCTTTCACTAGGTTTTAAGATAAATAAAACACCAGTAAAAATAAGAAGAGAAACTGAACTTATCTCTTTTAACATAGAAACAATAATGTATGACTACAATACCATTGAACTAAAAAAGTTATTTAATAATTTAGATTATACTAGTTACAATGTTTAAACATTTGAAGGTAATTTTTTAAAAAGGAACATGAAAATATATAAATGATGTAAATTTTTTAAATCAGGTGTCAAATAAAAATACTTGTATTTTGAAGAGATTAATGTCTTATTAATTTGGCATGGCGACTTTTTACTAAGTGGTACGTAGACCAGGAAATGCATCTGATTTAAATGATGTATATTCACAAAGAAAATCTGTAGTATAATTTCCAAATGGTTTTTTGTAGGAAGATGTATGTGGTAACTTTGAAGATGGAATGCACTTAACAAACTGTGTAGAAAAAACTTAAGTTATACATTATGATTGGTGCAAGATGGTTTTGCGAACCAGCACTATACATAAAACTTTGGTACAGGTGGGTATATTTCACCCTGAAGTTATTCGGCCATGCTTACATTTAGTGATCCTTGGGTAGATATGTAATAGCACATCAGTTCTAACCTTGGGTTTCGGTATTCTGACATTCAATATTTAGTCACGCCGCTGATAAATAAAGCGGAAACAAAAAGGTTGTCATTGACTTGTTCAAACAGTTTAAAATCAAAAAGAGGTTAGGCCAGTGCCAAAAACACACATAGTAATTGTTCCCACCACACAAATCTGTAAAACATCGACAACATTAAAATTATTTTGAAAAATGAGATAATATCACCAATACGAGAATATATAAGGTAATGTCTTTATCATTGGATGCAACTTGATTTTTATCAGTCATATGCAATAATGATTTGCTACTGGATTCGTCATAGCTAATTCTTGTTGCATGTGGTTGTTATAACCTAGTAGATACGAAGCTTGTTGGACCGAATATTGTGTAAATTTAGTTAATTTTTGTATGTCACAATATAAACACCCAGATAAATGTATAAGTTCCCACCACAGCCTTGTAATACTCACAGACGTATAAAGAGAACCTTATAGGAACACTACAGGAGAAGGGATTATGGTGTTGTTAAGTGACTGATATCGCAAACCAAAATACTTAACCACTTATGGTTATAGTAATCACTTATACTCGTTTCTTTACACCAATGAGGCAATAAAACGACATATTACCTTGGTTTTGTCTTTTCAATGTGTACATTAACATGATCCATACAATTAATTTCGTTTGCTTTAGGTAAAATACTTTCTGATTCGGTTGGTCTTACAATACTTTGCAAAGAGAGAGTCCAAGTTTGAAGGTTTGGTTTGTTAACTGGCGATGGAATTTCTGATTCACATGAAATTTCTAAATCCTAAAAACAATAAATAATAATAAAACGATATGGCAAATTAAAAGATAATTCACTTTACGACAAAATTATTTTAAGGACGTTTAAACTGGAACTCAAGTTCATTCAGCATGGTATTATATGAAACAGAACGTATGAAAGCAGCATTTGTATTTTTTAAAAATGTATTTTTCTCTTTATTCATTCATCCACGACCTAGCTTTACATAGAAGACAAGATACAGAGCACATAAAACAAATCTTTTAGAGTATATATTTTGTATAATTGATATTAATTGTATGTAAAGATGGATAGTGGCTAGCAGTGGCTATATCGAGGCAATATGCAAAGGATGCACATATGCCAATAAGAGACTGATCAGTTGCAGTCCTAAACATCAATGGGAAGATTCAAACAAACAATACTAAGTTAATTGATATTAATGTTTGGTCTCAAACTAATGACTAAGTACACAAAATGAGATGCTTCACGTATAACTTGCAATAAATGGATTACGGTGGTATAATGAACCGAAAATTTTAACAGATTTAAATCAGAAAGCTATATGGATATTTAAAAAATCAGCAATAATAAAATGAATTCAAATTTTGGATTAACGTAATATGATCTGTTATCTAAAGATTTCTCTTAACCTTTTCACATGTAAAGACACTTATGTATAACTTACAAGTATATAGTGGAGCTTAAAACAAATTTGAACACTGGTAAGCAAAGATGGATAGTGGCTAGCAGTGGAATCCAGAACGCGCTCTTCGTCCTATTTGTATTCGTCAGAAGGATGTACCTGCATCTCAGAGTTGATGATCACTCTGGGACTCGAACCCAATACCTTTCGCTTCAAATGCCATCGCGTTATCCACTCGGCCACTGAGTCCTGATAGCCACTTGCTTGTGCAATGAGGTGAAGTTTAAATTTACTTAGTATTGTTTGTTTGGATCTTCCCATCGCTTACCATGCTTGTGAATTTAGGCTATATCGAGGCAATACGCACAGTATGCACATATGCCAATTAGAGACTGACCAGTTGCAGTCCTAAACACATCAATGGGAAGATTCAAATAAACAATACTAAGTAAATTTAAACACTGTTATAGTTGGAAGTAAATGTTATGAAATGAGTTAGACTTGAAACTGTACAGTGTTCTACGATATTTTTCGGTTACATGTATCATTCATTTCTGGATACATATTTTAACCAAGTTAAAAAAATGTAAATTCGATGGAATTTATACTTATTATTTATTTAATTTCTTTTAACCAGGTGATTCAATTCACATGGTTTACGACAAACGATACTCGTATGTTGTCCAAATGATGTTAAACAACAAATGCTACGTAATTTCAACAGTCATTTTGACATTTTAACAATCCATTTATCATTTTAAAAAATTGTAAAAAATCAAAGTCAATTATGTTCATATTTGTGCATAGAACGTTGTTAGATTTCAGCAAGAGTATTGCTTGATGTTTTAAAGCTATTTGAATTGAGTATGGTACTTACAATAAAAAAAGCATTTATAAATATTTTATTAGAATGTTACTGCCGTGTTCATAATACTGTATCCGATATTTGTCAATCAATAATTTAGATCATTGTTACTACCATAAAAACAAAAAGAAATATGAAATTATTGTCTCTTTTCATGTGAAGAACACATATCGAACCTCTTTTAACAGTGTAGTCTATATTCCCATTGATTTACAATGTATTTTTCGTACGAAAAACTGTTGTGTGTTAAAAAGAAATACAAGCATTCATTCAAGATATATCATCCAATAATCCATTCCATAAGTATTTGTTTAGTTGTAAAGATATCAACTCAAACATAATTTCTTAAATAGGCTCAGACTAGCAATAGAATTCAGTAAATGAACTAATGATGATAAGCTCTCAACAAAATTAATAGATTTTGAGTTGTATGCCGTATATACTTAGGGGTTTTTATTATTCATATTTATGCATTAGTTTCAGTAATACACCTATTTGAAAAAGTTATTTAAGTAGTTTTGTATTCTGTTTTAGGATGTAACTACTATTGTATCTCGACTAATAGTATCAATAAATGAAGCTGTTTGGTTTCAAACGCATAAAAATGTTATTATTTTTAAAAAGGGGGGTTTTGTGGTGATCGTAGTAATTTAATAGTTGAATTCATGAGTCTATTAGAGCCAGACCACCGTGAAAAACCTGGAATCGTGTCTGTTGTGAGATAGTAACTCACTAAAAGTAATGATGGATGGTGGTACAATTTCGTGAATTTGTTGAAGTTAGACATTAACATCAGTGGATGCCGGTTCAGTGGTCTCGAGGTTAGGCGTTCACGCGCGAGATCGAAGGGTCTAGGTTCCAATCCTGTGGGCGGAATCGCCGATGCGCTCTTCTGAGGAACCTCATACTAGGAAGAAATAGCCGTACAGTGCTTTCAGATTTTCCGTGATCGTCTAGCTTTAATTGACTCATGAATTCAACTATTATGTTATTATCTGACAAATGGGCGGTTGTTTCGATCGTTTCATTGATAGGTCAGGTTAGTTCGTTAGCATATTTACGATTTTCCATAGTTTTCAATTTTTATAATGGCTAGGTAAAATTTTCATAAAAGTGTAAAAACTTTGTAATTTCGCTTCATGTTAAATTGATTGATCAAATTTTCGGGCACAATTTGGACAACCAAAATATTTCACTCTCAAAACTGATCAGCAAGTGGGTAATATTTTTAGCAGTCTCAATTAAAGTCGTGTTTGTGTACAAGTACTGCGATTATAGATGAAGCATCATTTGGTTTAACTCACTTCCTAAGCCAACAGATTGTTTGAATTGTCCTGGTTATTTTTCAAGGTTAATTATATCTTTATCCTTCATTAACTGGTCATTTTGGTGATTGAAGATGAGATGAAATACTCTAATCGCTCAAGATTACAATAAATGAAACATGTGTAGTAGATCCAAGCAACAACTTCATACAAGAATACTTTTATTAAACTCAAATAATGGCACAGAAGTAGTAGTTGAGTAAACACTAATTTTATTTTCACTCACTAAACAACTGATTTTTTAAAAATATTTTTGTTCGAAATAGCCATTCTTACGTCAAACAATAAAGTGCTTTTCTATCAAACGCTTTTAAAATGAGTTACAACTTATTAGAAAGCAACCACTCAACCTTTTTTCTAGATATGACCAAAAAGTCTTAATTTGAGCACACAGCATTACGCAGGATCGCGTGACGTCAAAATATAAAGAAATGATCTAACTATGGGCAATTGAAACTAGTTTCAACCAAAAAACCCTCGTAAATAATAAATAATCAGGGGAAGAAATATATAAAGTCAACTATCACATATCTTAAATGTTTTATTGTTGCGATAATATTTCACAAAAATGGAAATACGAATTTACCATTAAAGTAAATGTTATTAGTTTACTATTTCTTCGTTTTCTGTAAATGATATGCCGATAGACTAAACGCTTTACCAAGTAAGTATCATAGGACAGTTTTCGCGGTCATAAATCTCTACTTTATATTGCTAACGTAGAAAGTTCAGACAATTAGAGTTTTTGTGATAAAATAGAACCAACAGGTTGAAGTATAAGTATAATTGTACAAATAGCTTGACGTATTTTGACTGTGATAAAATAGCCTAATAACGCTTGGTCTATTACTTTTAAACCGTTATATCCATTTTTATCTGCATTTTTTTAAACACTTTGTCTAGCCAGAACGTAATGCATGAAATTTACAATTCTCCGTTTCAAACCATATTCAAAGCTAATTTTAATGCAGCTATGTATACAAAAAAACGCAGTATAGTAATACGCTGTAAAACGTTAAACAATTAGTTTTCGTACACCTTGAATATATCACCAATTTTTTTATTATCAGTCACTTAAACTCACGCTTTTTTGTTGGTAGGTAAACTTATAACATAAATGTCAGGGATTTGGTTGGACAAATTTTTGTTATAAAAAGTACCATTGAACTAATCCAGTTTTCTAACACATACTGAAGTTTTGTAAAAAATGTTTTGTAATAAATATTATTAATATATTTATATATATAATAAGTAGTATACAACAGATATATGATATTTATATTGTTGCATAAAAAGCTGACTATTTTATTGTCTACATATTTTTTTGATAATACTTGTTTGATAAGGTAAACAGAAAAAGTCGAATTGTTCAATTTATCTTAAAATATGAATAGAGAACTTTAGGTACGCACTAATGTATTCGAATTATGGGTTGTTATATAATGAATACATCTGTAATTACAATTGTTTCCTGAATTCAACATTTATTACTGAATACTGTCCCATGGAAATTAAGGAAAATGTTAGGTTTTATTTAATAAAAAGTATTGATTCAAACTTAAAAGCTGTTGGATGTCTATTTCACCGAAGCATTATCTATCAATAAATTAAATAGTATATCTCTGGGAAGATTCAAACAAACGATACTAAGTGAATTTAAACTTCACTCTATTGCACAAGCAATGGCTATAAGGACTCAGTAGCCAAGTGGATAACGCGATGGCGTTTGAAGCGAGTGTACTGGGTTCGAGTCCCAGAGTGAACATCAACTCTGAGATGCAGGTACATCCTTCTGACGAGTATAAATATGACGAACAGCGTGTCCTGGATTCCACTGCTAGCCACTGTCCATCTTCGCGTATAATGCTTGTGAATTAAGGTAATATCGAAGCAATACGCACAGTATGCACATATGCCAACTGGAGACTGACCAGTTGCAGTCGTATAACATCAATGCGAAGATTCAAACAAACAATACTAAGTGAATTTAAATAGTATATCATTGAGGAAAAAAGACTAAGATAGAGATCTGTAAGAGGCTAATTATTTATTTAAATAAATAAAATCTGTGGCAATAGTTGTATTTATGTTTCTTTGAAAGAAATATAATTTTGTTACATATTATGTTAATTTTATTTTAAATACAAACAAGCATGATGCAGTCAGAAAAGAGGCTGCAAGCCATTCAACACCAGATAGAACTCTTCTACAGCCTTGAAAATTGAGATTACAACTTCTAGAAAGACGATGAGACCTTTTAGAAACTAACTTTATCTATTGGTGATACTTTATCTTTTTATAAGTAACAAAATAGCAATAACGGTACAAAGTGGTTTATAAGAGTTAAATGTTTCCAAGGCTTGAAAAGTAGACGACTAAACAAAAACTATTTAGCTAAGAATCTAAAAATAGGAACCAACTTATGAAATATTAATATACTGCCAACAGTTAAATTTCATTTGATTTGATAACTGTTCAAAAATAGCCAACTATTGAGGCATTCTTAAACTTATTTTTTAGTGAAGTTATTAGGACCAGATCAATTTATTCATACTAATGTTTCATTTCTTTATAACAAACTCTAAAATGTAATCATGATTCATTTTAGCTGATAGTTTAACCTCTATGTAATAAAAATTTCAGACCTGAAATTTTTATCATATCTACACTGTACAGATGCTTTTCGTTTTGTGCTTATAATAAACACCTCTGTTTACAAAATGAAAATACATAAAATTCTCAACTCATCGTAAAATAAAATAACAATTTATTCTGTTATACAAGATAATAATGTCGGCCGATATATATGCGTGTAATTGTATGCATATGTATACTCATAATAACTTATACTTAGTGTTTTGAACACTAGAAGGAGGCTGATCAAGTTGTGAATGATAAAAAAGGAACTTAAAATAGACTGTCCTGAGTTCGAATCTTGTGAGGCGAGGTCGTGAATACGCACTGCCGAGGAGTCCCACAATGGAACGAAACGGCCGTCCAGTGCTTCCAGGATTTCCCTAGTGGTCCAGCTTCAATTGACTTACGCTTTCAACTATGAAAATACTAAATCTCCACAAAAAAACCACTTCTGATAGTTTAAATAGATCGTTAGTAGATGGCGAATTGCTTGCGTTTCGTTTATGAATACTATTTTGATAGAAGTTTCATAATTTTTTCGACTGAAACAATAATTGTACAAAGGGTGCGTGATATAATCTATTCTATTTCGAATAAAAAATATTAAAATCAAATGATTGTCTAAACGATGTAAATATTTAATTCTGTGGAAATCTGATACTTTTCAGTGTGTTTTATGCATACAAAGATTTTGAGCAGCAAAGAAATGCTTAAATCTATCATTCAAATAAGAATGACGTTTAAATGGTACACAATTTATCCATCGTACGATGACATTAATAAATCTCTATCTATCTTTCTGCTACATTTACAGTAATTTTGAACGTCAATATGAAACTCTATTATTGGGTCTTTGAAAAGTTTTAGTTCAGAAATACAAATGTCTTAAATCTAGGTTCAATTACTTACTGTCAACACAACAAACGTAATAATATTTAATAGGATAAAAAATTCTTCTATAGTTGGTTTTATAGATATACATTAACGGAATAATTATTAGATAGTAATAAACCAAAGTTAACATTACTACTATTAAAATGAATATCACACAGCATGTGTGGACAAAATCCATCTTGGTCACAGTGGGCCAATGAATAGAGAATACGTAATACCACCACATAGCAGTATCGCGAACTTATATTATATAAACATATATAAGCACTAACAGTGAAATCAATATACAGACCCAATGTTTACTGCTATTTTGACGTTAAGTACTAAAATAGTCTTTAGAGAACAAATAATCAAACTGCCATACAGCATACAGATTGTCTTAATAGATAAATACTTTTAGAGAAAAGTTACAAAGATCCCTAGAATTCCATATGCAAAATTTAAGACTTTCATGAGTTACTATTATAGGCTGATAGTGACACTGAAGGTTCGTGGTGAAGTTATTGATGTTTCAACATTTTTAACACAATAACAGATCTTTACATGTATCAATGGGAAGATCAAGTAAATACACATTCATTAGCTTATGATACCATCGGTTTGCTCAAAACTTCAAATTTATTATCAGTTATTGTCAATAAAGCATTAAATAAATCGAAAAAACAAAAAGAAAACGATGATATTTTTATCTATAATTTCCAGAATAGTTTAACATTTCTGTTAGTTTGTAACATTTTCAAAATGTATCTGACAGTAACAGAATGATTTATTTATCGTATTTGAGTTATATATTTATATATATCGTTCAGTTAATCGTCGAATGATTGACGTGTTCAGATAAAAAAAAGTTACATTTTTACTCTTATTCAGATGAGGTTAGTTAATATCAATAATGCAAACCAGTATAAACATGTTTATTTACACTGTCTTGTTTAATTACGATGATAAATAAACAAGCAATAAAAGTTATATATACCAACTTATCAAAAAAAGAATGGACAATGATTGAAGTAGAGTATGTGTATTTTTATTCTTTTCATTTTATCGAACATTTCATTTCATATAGGGGTTAGCTTTTTTTAGCATTTCTTCTGTTATAATGAATATGATCAAATTTTTGGATAGTATGATTGGATAAATTTAGTTGCAAACAATATAAATATTTATATAACCTGTAGTGGATTTTGTCAAAATACTTGACATTTACTTATAAAATGATATTGTTGTACACATTTTTGTTTGGTTAGTTTTTCAATAGGTGCAAAACTACCTGAATGTGAGGTAAACTTCAACATGAAATTGTCTAAATAATATTTTTCATGTAATTTCCATTGCTTTCATCGTATTGTAAACACTATTATTAGATCTTATTAGCGTAGTAGACAACAGTAGCAATCCAGTATCACTCATAAGAACATATCTTTTTTGGCTCAAAAGTCATAAAAATATGTAGTCACTCTTATAGAATTGTATCATGAATCTAGAGGAAAATCGATGAAACCTAACGAATAGTTTCATATAAATCATCTAATGGTATTTTATATAAATCGATCTAGACAGTTACCATTTTTACTTTTCCTGTATCTCATCTATTTTCATCAGTTGTTTTATAACTAACATTGCAAGAACCATCACTATGAGGTTTAAAGAATATTTATAAACCTTGTAAAATGAGAATAATTCGTAAGATAAATTTATGGAAATAGATAATGATGTAAATTATCAATGAAGTAACTGTTTCTAATTCCAATCGACATAGAAATCTGTTAGACATGAATTATGCCAACGTAAATATTAAAAGAATACGTTATTATAAACAGAAAACATCCCAAGTATCTTCGTTACTTGTATTAAAAACTCTTCAATTCCATTAATTTGGAAACGATTGATGCAAACCAAAATTCTATACATTAAAGTTCCTGCAATCTACCTTATAATTTGTCCAGTAGTTTCACTTCCAATGGAAGTCATATGGTCGGTTCGTTAACAAAATCGTTATACTCAGGTCCCAAAACTTTCACAAAGACGTTTTATTATTTGGTGATCTAAACAGTAGTCCCTGGATCATATTAGATATCAAAAGACAAGTAAACAGATTAGTTCAATTAATTCTGATTTCATTGTTTGGTCAGTTTCAAAGTTGATTGTTTATAGAATATCGTGGATCGTCACAACTTTCTGCATTTAGTTGTAAATAAGGTTAAAAACACTCAAAGTAGCATTATCACTTTATAACTTCTCGCATATTATAATACTGTTTGACAAAAAACGATATGACATGAGATTGTCATGATTATGAAGACATCTTTGAAGTATTATTTCTGTCAAAAATTGTTATCATCTGTAGAACTATTAAAAATCGGCTGCTTTTGCAATGTAACTTGATAATTCTCAGTTATATTAAATGACTAATGATTCTAAATATGACAGAATCAGTGACTATCAAGTCTCGTGGGGGAAGCAATAGACTATCTACTACTATCTAGATCCCTGAGAAAGACGTTTTATTCATCAGAGTTCCGAACTATTTTCTCCAGCAAGAAACTCATTCAACATTGTGTTCAAGATGAAATGCCTATTTTGATCACCTCAATGTACATTTATCAGTGTACTTGGTAAACAAATATTCGAACAATACCTTGCATGGATATCTCAAAGGAATACAAATTAATTATCAACTCAGTCCTTGAACACATGGTTAGCTTGGGTCACACCGCAGCAAATGAATTGTCATTCAAAATCACCTACAAAGTAAAAATGACTGACTCTGAAAAGGTTTCGATGAGGAGTTTGTACATAGTTGAAGCTATGGCGATCCACTATTCCAAACTCGACCACTGTGTACACAAGATTTATGTCCATTCCCTAATATTTCCATGGTTTTATCACCCCTTTGAGTTTTGTAAATTGTAAGTGCTAAACAATAAATTTAAGAGATTAAAAATACTGAATGATGACTCGTGCCTTTTATTTTGCTAGCAAATCAAGATAAAAGTGTTTTCTCGTTCATCTATCACCGGGTTTTATCTTTAAAAATAGACAAGTAACAATTTTCCATCATAAGAGGGAAATAAGATTCATATAAAATAATATGGATTATCAATTTTCATGCGCACAGTGAATTTTGGTGTTTAAAACAACAAAGTGATTATCATCAACAGTGATATAATTCATAAGCAGCACAAAATTGACATGGAGAGTTTTTTGTTAAATAAAATTAAACCGATGGGAATATCTGTAACTTGAATGGATATTTTGATAAGATAGAAATTTCCTACATAATGAATTTTATCAAGCATCTTTTAAATTAACTAACTTTCAAGTGATTGAAATCATTTTTCTGACTATTTAAACAAAAAATGTTTAAAACAAATTTTATTACCTGATTGTTTGGAGAATCTAGGCTTCTAGTTATCCATAAATCATCATCAAAATCATCTGTCTGTATCATTTTATCAGATTTTCTTTGGTGAAATATATCACTAAATTGTTGTTTTATTAGGAAAACAAAAAAAATACATAATGACAGTCAAAAACACAAATGGCAATCGCGAAATCTAGAAGAAAAACGTTTGTGTAATGGTTAAATCTGCGCAAATAAATCTTGTAATTCATAGAAATAAAATTTTAAAATTCATTTAAATCAATCAATGAAGAAATAAATCCACTTCGTTTACCTTCTGTTTCAGGTGTGAATAAATTTTGAGCTTAGTACATTATCAAGGGAAACATATTTTCTAACCAGTAGCGGATACAAAATAAAGAATGGTAATTATCTTCGGAAAGCTAAGAATATGAAACAGAAGCTCTGTAGAAGGATCAGTCGTGTATAACAGGTGAATTGCAAATGCTATATATATATATATATATATATATATATATATATATATATATATATGATAGCTGTAAAAGAAAGACCAATCGTACGTTAAAACCCTGGTAGCAGAAGACTAAGAAGATAAAGCTAAAGAGAAGAGAAGGTAAAATAAAAAGGAATTGTAAACTTGAAGAATCACACAGAATGTGGAGGACAAGTGATGAAAATTTGTAAATAAAGTATTCGCTGTATGGTTCTTATATTTCATCTGGATACTCTGTAATGTTTGATTACAATACAATTGATTGTTTCCACTTGTGTTTTCGTTCATTACAGATATATGAACAAGAAGCTAGTGAAAGTAACCAATTGTTCGACGTTGTAACAATTTATTTGGTTTCATATATTCATTTAAGAAATCATAACAATTTTACAACGCACTTTATGCAACGAGCTCATTCAGATTCACATGAAAAGCATAGAACGGTTAAATGAAGGAAAACCATAATTTTTAGGGAATTGTTTACCTAATTTTACAATCTTTAATAACTAATATTCTGACAACAGAATGTTGGTAATAAGTTAATCGGTAAAAGTATCGATATACTATTTAATGTGAAGTAGTCCTCAGTTGATAAAAGGTTAACATTAGGATGTGTCTCATATTCAAATAACAAGGAAGCTTTCGTGATTAGGACAAAAATATTAAATTTCTTCTTGAAACAGATATTCAAATAGGTCCATTAATATCAATATTTCTTTTTTCGAAACAGCACTAGGTTTGACTTTTGGTGAGAATTTTATTTGAAATGTACTTCTTTTGCATATTTTAGATGCCAATTTGTATCTACAAGACGGAGTTTATTGGCAAAATATAGTTACTATTACTGAAAGTTTTTTGTATATTTATGTTGAAATCGGAATAATTTTAGATTGCATTGTGTGTATTTTTATTCAATTAATTACATTCTAGTATGGAAAAATTTACCACTGTGTTTAATAGTTGTCAGTTTCGTAATGTTTTCAAATGTACTTAAATTGATCACAGTTTTATCTAACTTAATCTACCCTATTTCACATATTTTTGAAGATACTTTATCTATATTCATTTTCTTTGATGCTTATCAATTTACAATTTATGGTACAAGCTTTCTATATAGTTAAGATCATGAGTCAATCCCGCGAGGCGGGTTCGTGGATAAGCACTGCTGAGGAGTCCCACAATGGGACGGAACGGCCGTCCACTGCTTCCAGGTTTTCCAAGGTGGTCTAGCTTCAAGTGACGCATGGTCTTAACTTTATAAAATTACTAAAATCTCCACAAAAACCACTTGTGATACAAGTTTTTCTATGAAACATTTTGGTGTTTGTCAGTTAAGCATCATTTAGGATATATTTCACTGGTAAGAATCTAAATAGTTACAAACTATAGACCTTTTTAAACACTAATTTTCCTAACCCATAAGTAAAATGGTAAGACTTTTGAAAAGAAATTTACTATTGCTAAATCTAAACAATATGAAATTTTCGAGTGAAAGAACGTTTTCATACTAACAAATAAAACACAAATAAACAAAACAAATAAACAAAACACAAATAAAACACGAAGTTCAGCGAAGGGATCTCTTTTCAACGAATTTATTATCAAGCTGTACAATCGTATATATATATGAAAAAGTTTTGTTAAAGTACTAATTCCGTGAGGAAATGTGAACACTAATAACCAAGTAGGAATAATATATTTTGTAAAATCTCAGCGAATGAATTTGTAGTAAATCCTAATAACCAAGATTATAATACTAGATTACGTAATACGAATAATAACAATAGATTTAGTGAATAGAATAAGATGATCAAAATGTTTTGGTTACAATAATTAAAGGTCATTAAAGGTCATAGAGGTGTAAAATAAATAAGATGATCTGATGAGTATTCATGAATAAAATAATGCGAATATAAAACATAAGTAAAGGGGGAATGGAGTAATAATAATAATAATAATAATAATAATAATAATAATAATAATAATAGAATGATACTAATAATAATATTAAGGCCATGGTAACGATAATGATAAAACGTACTTCTTTTGTACGCATAGTTCTGGTTTGAGCTCATGGATGGTAAGAGCTTCGGCTATTTTTAAGAGTTTGATACGAAGAAATCTTGGTAGATTTAAACGAATCATATAAACAACCTTAAAATCAGACTGTGGATTCGTCGAATGATTACAGTCGATTAAGTGTTCAAGTATAGAACTTCTAACTGTTTTCCTTTCACCATTGTAGAACCAAACTGGTATATGTTCTCGTATCCGAGTTGAAAGCGAGCGTTGGCTACGGCCGATGTACCTTGCTCCACAAGAGCAGGTGAACTGGTAGATGTACATAGAGGCGACCGAACGCGGGAGCTTATCTTTTATAGATACAGAGAATAAGTTCTTACTAGTGAAGGTTATTCGTAGTTTAGCAGCGTTAAATGTCCTTTTAATCGTTGTTGTTAAACGATTTTTAATTATGTCTGATGTTCGATTACCTTTAAATTCCAAACTTATATAAAGGCTTTTCTTTAGGACTGAATAACTAGGTTTCCTGTTGACGCTACTTCTATTCATATTCTTTTCTATGAGTCGTTTGAAAATAGCAAACAAATACTTTATTTGAGTCTTCAAAACATAAATATTTGAGAAATAAGTGTTCGTCAATATACAGCCTACTGTCAAATGTATTTTCTCTAAAACTTTGGACATAATGGGCTGACAGCTGTTCATAGTTAAGGTAACTATCTCTAGGGTGATTATTTGAAAGTGTTAAGTAATTAATTATCTTGTTGACATCACCAATGAATGTTTAATACTTGATGATAAGAGTTTTATTCATGATGTCTTCCGAGTTTCTTTTTATTTAAATCAGAATAATTAAAAGAAAGCTGAAAAGTGAAATGAAATATTTTAGCATATCTGCAGAATAGTTCTAGTTTTACTTCTGTTTCATTAAAAGTAACTTTTTGAATTTTATTATTCATATGTTTTTTAAAAATAACAGCTAATGAGCGAACATAATGATTTAAGGCTTAAGGTTCAATAGAAGTTCATTAGTGTATATTTTTTAAGCTAAATGTTTTGACTCTATAAAGCTTAGTTCAAGGACAGCATTTTATACAGTAAAGTCAGTTATATAGTTCGAAAACAATAAGGAAAAATGGAAAGAATTTGTACAGGAGACTATAATCTCATCACCCTATGGTGTTTTCACCGATTATTTTAGACTGTTGCGGTGCACTTTTTCCAATTCTCCCGAATATAATAAATTAAAAAATTCTGGCACTAGAAAAAATCCTTTATCTTTTTTTTTGTGATTCAATGATCTGAAGAGTAAACTATTCTCATGTAAAATAGTAGAGTGTAAATCAATATCGAACATCATTCATTTTCTCATAAATGTTACACTGAGAAAATTTTTGAAATTTCGCTACTTTTATGAATTCAATTTTGTTATGTTAATAGTTATTTTCAGGGTTCGTTGCCAACACTTTCAGAACTTTTTTTTATCATGTCTTATTTTTCTTGAAAGAAGCTTTAAATTTCAGTCCGTGTAACACCGTTGCAACTCCATTTAGTGAAACCGAAATAATGTTATTATTTCTACTTGGTTCAGGTCTAATTCCGTATAATTATATTTGTAGGATGTCTTTGCAAGATTGAAAAAATATTTACATTCGATGACTACCGCTCATGACTATTAAACAAACCGAAATTCTTCATCTAAAGCTGTATGGCTGTCATGTAATTTAACATGAACATATGAAAAGGTTTACATTTTTTTCATCCAAAGAGATATATCTCAGGGAATTTAATTGATTATAGCCTCCGTTAGTTACTTTCGCACCACACTAACATGCTGTTTTGTCGCATTCGGAATTCAAACAACTCAACATAATTACTTACCTTTTATATTGAGAAATGTTATCCTGTTGTTTTGTAGATAGATTCACCTGTTGTGGAACAGTAGGTGAGATTTGATTTGAATTGGGCCAAAATCCATATTTGTTAGGCGATTTGTTTGATAGCAAAGCCGAATCTTCAGTCACTATGTGTGTTCTTGTTCCCCTTCCTAAAATAGGAGTTTCATCTGCCGTTCGAATAGGCTACAAACAAGTATGAAAATAAAGGAATAAGTTAGTATGTTTAAACAATTTTTTGAAGATTCCATCCTAGCATTTTATATAAATGTGGTGTAAGTATTTAAATACCGTAAACCCTTTTCATCGGTAATATATTATCACTCATAGTTCCTCAATTGATGTCATAAATTTATGAAGCTTGAGATTAATCTTTAACAGGTACGTAGATTCAAGAGTTGGTCTGTTTAAAGCTGAAACTCGGATGATTATTCACAGTTTTCTAAAATTTGGAAAGTAATTAGAATGGATATATATATTCTACATGCAAGCAGAGCTTTGTTTCTTATCAGCAAGCTTTAAATATTCAAGAACAAGAGGACCTGTAAAACAAGAGAATACTGAACATAAGATAATATAGAAGAATGAAATGTCTTACAATTTAACGAATATCAAGAAGTGAAAATTCCCATTTTGACACTTGTTAATTAAAAAAGGAACGAATCGAGCGAAGAAATTTCTTTTCAATTAGTTTTTCATCATGGCTCTACACTAATATATATATGATTTACAATAATTAAATAACACTCATGGAGTAGATACGTTACGTAATGATTATATAATGACATCGATTATAAACTAACATTAATTGGAAGAGAAGGATTAATACTAATCAAAGTTATTATTCGAAAATCAAGCGTTTGCTACGTTGCATAATATATAAAAAAGAGAAGTAAGAACTAAAGAATTTTGATGAATGGTCAGTAATATAGTAATTATGTAAGAATCAAGAGACGAATGAAGAGAATAAGTAAAATACAAAATACAAAAAAATGGAAGGAATAAGATAATTGTTTACCGAAATTATGCTACAAACTCCGCTATACCGATGGCCAAGGTAGCGAGAGTGGTTGTACAAACTTCTTTTGGATACATAGGTTCGGTTTGTAGATATGAATTGCGATGGCTTCAGCTATGTGCAATAGACGGAAGCTCATTTAGACAGCTCTGAGTGATTGGTGTAATCCTATAGAAAACATTCGAAATTCTGGTTAAAAAGTATATCCATGACTCTAGTCTGGCTAAATCTTCAATCCATAACTTATTGTGATCCAAACGAATATGTAGGGAGATCGAGTTTCACATTACATTACATCGATAAGCTATCAAAATCAGATGTGAAATTGTTATGTCTTTTTCATAGCAGTTTAACTTTCTAAATCAGTTCAAAGAATTAAATTTTTCTTAAAAATGAGGTTTCATATATTTTCTAATACTCATCAGTATTTGAACGAACAGTTTGAAAGAAATCAGGTGTCGATTTCATAGAAGAAATTATATGCAAAAATTATATTAACGATAAGTTTAGAGATTGAGATTTAAGTAATTTCGACGTTTCGATCAATAAGCTTGTCTGAACTTCTTCAAGATAATAATAAAAATCAAAATTACTAAAGACGCATAATATTTCATAAAATGTCTACATTGCAAGCCTACTTAGTCATATACAGATGTTGATTTTGTACTGGCAGATACACACACATTCTTTTTCATATCGTGAAATGTCCACACTATTCACACATAACTGACTCACATTTTCTTACTGAAATCAACATCTGAATATGATTAGATAAGCTTTTAGTGTTAAGTTGATCGTTAAACATTATATATTCATTCGATTTAAATTATTGCGCTGAAGAATTGTTGACACGATTACTGGATGAAGCTTTGAAGTTGTTTAACATTCAATCCCTGACATTTTCTCAAGTGTACCTATTAACTATAATGAAGTTTTATATGTTCACAGTTTACCAACTTATTAGTCCTTCAAAATCGAAAGTAAATTCCACAAAGTAAAATCATCAATCATGATAAAAATTAAAGTAAAAATAATTAATGTTCATCATTTAATACTAGCTTAACAGTTAAGCATAAAAGATAAATGTAAGTTATAATATTCCGCCTAATTCATGTTTTATTTTAACAAAAATAGAAAAGAATGAGAGAAAGGAAATATTTAGGCTAAAGTTTATGAACAAACATTTCAGAGAAATTGTAAAATGTTTAGAAAATAATATTTAAAGGATTATACACAACTATAACTATTATTGTAAGCAAAGATGGATAGTGGCTATCAGTGGAATTTAGGACGCGCGTTTCGTCCTATTTCGAACTCGTCAGCTGGATATTCCTGGATCTCAGAGTTGATTTTCACTCTGGGACTCGAACCCAGTACGTTTCGCTTCAAACGCGCGTCCTGGTTTCCACTGCTAGCCACTGTCCATCTTTGCTTGCAATGCTTGTGAGATAAGGCTATATCGAGGTAATACGCACAGTATGTACATATGCCAATTAGAGACTGACCAGTTGCGGTTCTAAGCATCAATGGGAAGATTCAAATAAACAATACTAAGTGAATTCATAACTATTATTATTCATTCGAAATCGCCGTATTTTACAATATGTTGTATTTTTGATGTTTATCAAAACTATGGAAAGAATAGATTGCAAAAATGCATGAGATATGATGTAAGAATTCCAAAAGGTTTTTTCATCTTTTTAATCTCATGATGTGATCTGATTTCGGTCATTACTGCTGGTCATGTGACAATAATGGAAAAAGGTTCCATTTATTTTTGAGATTTATTATATATTTGTGTACAAACTAAGGCTTTAGATTTGTATGATGATGTCTTGAAATATTTTTAGACAGCGTGAAATTGGTGATGCATAAGGAACACATGTTTAAGGTATGGTGATAAAACCATTGATTTTTGGCCTAAATGATATATTCAAGGTATCAGAAGGATGATGAATAATTTCCTAGTTATGAGACAACTACTTTTGAATGTATTTTGTCAGTTTACTATCTGTATTACAGTATAATAACAAGGGAGCTAATATAGCTAGTCATCAAGCTGACAAAGTAAAAATTTGAGTTTTTTCTTGCATCAACAGGAAATAAAGGCTGCTTAAACTGATCTCAAACTACTCAGGCTATCAAAACCGATTTGCTTTTTTAGAAAATGAGATATTATTTCGTTTCAAATTACATAGAAGAGCTAAATATTTTTTTAAGCAAGTAGTAATGTTTTTTGCCCAAAATAACCTTAATTATATAATCGTAAGCTGTGATAGGTCATAAATATTATTATTAAAATATTCCTTTTACACTATGAGCCTGTAATCACTCTCTATATGAAAATATGGTGCAAAAATCTATGGAACTAGGTGCAAAGAGTTTATATCCCTTGGCTTCGAAAGTTATAACTCAATAATTTATCATTTTGAAGCCACATATACAAAAAAGACATTATTCAAACAAGAAACATAAGCGTAGTAAACTGAATAATATTCATATCTGTTTAACAAAAGATAAAGGAAAACAACAAGAGACTTCATTCTGGGACATTTAGTCCATAACGGTCACAACATCGATATGAACTTAACTTTCAGAGTTATTTATCAAACTTCCTATGCCTTGGAAGTTCATTTCCTGCATATAACAGAAATCATAGGTATTCATATCAATAAACATAATCTTTATAAACAAAAAGGTATGTGCAACCTTTTAACTTATCCTGGCCCTTTGCATTGATACTATAATGTCCCTTAACACTTTGAATTTGGTCTAATTTTTATTTCTAATTTTATCATCAGTAATCTATCTTCATGATTGGTTTATCTATTTTTTTCTTTACCCATTTTATTAACTGTAAATTAGTAACATTACTAATACCATCAAATATTCATATTCTAATGCTTAATTTCGAACCTAAACAATTCTTATTTTTAAATGACTTTGTTATGATTAACTGACTACGAAAATTTGCTTTTAAACTTAATTTTGTATTTGTGGATTCGTTAACTGATTACTAGTTTTAAAGAAAGTAATGAGATAAATTGTTATACTGACGAATTACCACTTATTTGGTATAGATTTGTTTGTACCTGTAAAACTGATATATTTGTGCAAAGCAACGACTAGGAACTAAATGAATTGAAATATTTTTTTCGTTCAATTTATACAACAAGCAGTACAGCAGTGAAAAACCGACATATAAGAGAGACAACGAAAGATTTGTATTTCATTGAGTCCAGAATGCTCTCGTGATAATCAAGTGTGGATAGGTACAATTAATACAACATGAAATAAATGAATGTAAGAAAATTCTATTTCTATGTTTTTAGTTGTGTGATGAAGAAAAAACAACGATTCCAATGACATTTCATTATTTCATCTTTAACTCGATTCACTTTCGTTTTAATAATGATTTAGTGTTTTAGATCAGGTGATTATATATACAGATATAGTTAAACATGTTCTAAAAGTTGAATTTAAAAAAAATACCCGGTGTCAATCGTAATTCTATACGAGTAAGAAAATGTCGATGAAATATTTATGAACGATCAAGTAAACAAACCAATTTTCTTATTATAGTCTTTTTAATCATTTAAAAGAAAATGAAGGAAATGTCATCAGACTACAGTTTCTAGACAATATTGTTCTTTACATGACGTATATTTTACATTATAAAATGATGAGAACAAACTGAAATCTTAACACTATAACTATAAGTCTAATTATAGATCAAAATTGATATGATTTATTTTTCTGAATAAATTGGCATCATATGACATGACATAAATATGTGAAATTATATATACTGAATATATAGTGAAAGTCTATATTTGGAAAACAAGAAGTGTTCAGATTCTTCTGAATGACTAGTATTTTAGTTAATGAGATTACCAGTGTTAGTGAGCTCTTTTATTTTTATTTCTGATTTGTATCGCTTATTCATGTACATTTATTGATATTTACAGCTTGACCAATAAACTTATTTGTCAAATAAATGCCTCAAAATGTTCTTGTCCTAACATTATTTACAATCCATATACGGTGGGATGCAGAATAAGTGAACTGAAGTACGGATTCGTTCATTGTAAAACCTATACATGTATTTGCGTAGCTAAATTTGAAAAAAGTGTCTGCTTTCCATCTGTTCTTAATAAATAGGATTTTTACACACTAAAACATATGTTATTTCGATATGTTTAAGCATGACACAAATATTTAGCACAGAAGCTTGATTTGTAACAGTTGCTATTTACGTTGAACTATATTTTTTACAGTAGCTTACGTAGACAGTTTGTCCTTACTGTACCTAACACACAAAAGTTATTCTTTTCAATCTTGTGAAACGATAACCTGAAATTTAATTGAAGAAAATTGCTACGTTTGTATATACTTATTAAGTTTTAGATGATATCATATGTGAAATATATAGTGCTTAAAATGTAATTTACTGTTAAATAGATAGATTTAAGATAACAAACTTATGGAGTTTAATTCACTAACAAAAATAAGTTTAAATATTAGTGTAATCTATGTCAGTTGTGCATATTATTTAAAATGGCTTCAGTATTCTAAAGTACTCTTTGGCAAGAAGATAAAAAATGTTTGCCAAATTATTAAATACATGCGAAACAGTTCATATAGCATATTGACAAGTTTAACATCTTTTGGTCATAATATACCCTTGAGTACTAGTTTTTGTGCATCAAAGATATGATATTACATATGATAAAACGTTTAAACAGTAAAGCTGAAACTAAGTTTATTATTTCGGTTATGATGATAAACATATAAGTATCATTATTCAGCAGACTGGAAGATCATTTTTCAGTAGTGTCGAATATGACCCATTATCGTGGTCTGTTTATTTACTGAATTCTGACAGCAAGCAGCATTTTCGTAGTTAACAAGTAATCAGTTGAAGTTTAAACTTATTTGTATGTAAGTAGAAGACATTCAATAGTCTCCACGGCCGCCTATGCTAGAAATTACCATGTACTCACTAGCGACTAACTTTAGGAGATAATTCCAGATGTTAAATCAAGAAGCCATGACCAACGAGGTTCAACCGCAATGGGCATGGTACAAATACCGCGAATGGCAATGGGTGATTGTCGCGCAACAGTGCTGATTGACCAAAATTAGAAATATGAACCATTATGTTCCAACTCAGTTGTCTGAAGTTTAGGTACTTTCTGCGACCCCACAAGAGCTTAGATTCAACACCTGATGAAGTGGTGGGTGTGCACTGTTGAGGAGCTCCACTTTAGGACGAGACGGGTATGCGGTGGTAAATAAATAAATTCAGACCATGGCGTGAACCTTAGTATTGAAAAATCTTAGTAACTATCTATGCTTATAGTTAAAAATTACATTATACTTTAAATTAACAATAATCCTTATGCAATACGAGTCTGAGTGATTAATTTAGCTGAGATCACATTCACAAAAAGTGTCTTAGGATAGGAAAATACCATATTTCTGCAACGCCGACTCGAGGTTAAGTGAAATTGTTATGTCACCGTCAATATTATGACAAGTATGTCATATAGATTATCTTCAATAAGTTTCAGTTGAAAGCAACGAGCTGATCATTTGAATGAATATCCACCTCCTTGTATTCTATAACGTATTAACATACTTGACTACTGAATTAAAATGTGATATTATTATAAGGTAATATTTAAATGGTTGTTCCGTTTTTCTTTCGAATGCATTAAAAGGGAAGAAAAATGAAGTTCCCGATTAACTCATCTGAAAAGCATGAATATGAGTTACTAAAGGCAGAAAAAACAATTTCACCGCACTGTAATAGAAAAATCATGCATACCTTAAACTGAATCGAGGGATTATATTTTTTTTGAGACAGATTGTATAGTAGTTCATCATATAATAAGTTACTGTAATCATGCTACTTATGAATTTTAACTAATTCATTTTCCTGACAAGCAATTAATGAATATTTAAGAAAATATATAACTTTGTTAATGCCCTCATTAAACGCTCATTATCTTCTGAAAGTGTTTAGATTACTTGAACAATGATAATTGCTAATAAAATAAACTAAAGATTGATGAATGAAAAACTGATGGGGTTAATGTTTTGGTATTAGCACATTTCATGTTATCTACCTACACAATAAAGTATACTTCAAATATATACATACTTAAATACATTTACTTAAGTGGTATTAAATATAAACATAAATCATTATTTTCTATAAATTTAGTAGTTACCTTAGCTTTGTTGGTTTCATTTGTGAAAGAATATTCATCATACGTTGGAACAGATTGCACTTCAGATTCTGTGTATATTTTGATCGATGGATGATTAGTATGATTTAGGAAGCCATTTTGACTAGTTTTCGAATAATTATTTATTGAAAATCTTGAGTCAACATACCAATGAGGTGGTTTATTTATTTCTGTTACATGATCAGTTTTATACTGTAAATAGAATATGGGAAAATAGATCTATCAGTATTAGAAACACAAAAGATTTGACTTAATGGATTTTTGAGTGAGTATAAATAAAACTGTCGGATATATAAAAAAAACACTTTTTTGAATTATATAACTAAATATTAATACATGAGAACAAAATATTCATTATTGGATACTTAGAAGAAATACAAAAAATAAATATTTACACAGTAGAACATAAAAGAAAATATTGGGACTATAAAATGGAAGTTATTTTTAAAATCATACGTATGGGAGACATATGAATAAAGTAAAATATTTTGCAATTTATCTATTACACGTGAAAGTGGGTAATTTAAAAATTTAATTTGTGGAAACCACTCCAAATAAAAATTGTTTGAAATAATGATATATAATTCTATGAATCTCAAGCAAACAATTTGGTTTTGAGATAGTAGGAAAGCATTTGCTAATAATGTTGTCTAGAAAGACAATGAAAACTTCATAATTATTTAAACCAGCTCATTAAATGGGACTCCTCAATCAAAGCAATTTAGTGTAAAAACTTTCATAGTTTAGGAAATATAGATGTTAATCTTTATAGATATATTAACTTGAAATAGCCGAGTACTTGAACGAGGTTCAGTGAAATCTATTGTTCATAATATAACTTGAAAACTTTTGTATAATATTACAATGTATATTAAGTCTCAAGTAAGGTAAGATAATTTCATATAGGTTTTGTATACTTTAAAGGTAATTTGCTTAGTAAACACGGATTAGTTTGCCAAACATTGACTGTCAAACAACACTGAAAATTTCTATTTCAAAAAAGTGTTCATATAGAGGAAAATCGAAAATCCAAGCTTGAACACAAGTAAAACATTCACTAAGTTTTAATATAATTATTTCCAATCTACACTTCATTCATTGCATAATTTGATGGTTTATTTGATAAAAAATCAATTATACTAATATAATTTATCGTAGTTGAAATCATGAGTCGATTGAAGATAGACCATCATGGAAAACCTGGAAACACTGGAAGGCCGTTTCGCCCTATTATGGGACTCCCCAGTAGTGCGCATCCACGATCCCGCAGTCGCGAGATTCGAACCCAAGACCTGCCAGTCTCGCTCCATAGCACTTAACCGATAGACTGCTGAGCCGGCATCCAACGGTGTTAATGTCTAACTTCAACCGGCTCAGTGCTCTATCGGTTAAGTGCTTTGGAGCGAGACTGGTAAGTCCTGGGTTCGAATCTCGTGAGACGAGGTCGTGGATGCGCTCTGCTGAAGCGTCCTACAATAGGACGAAACGGCCGTCCAGTGCATTCAGGTTTTCCATGGTGGTCTAGCTTCAATTGAATCATGATTTCAACTATAAAATATACTGAAATCTCCACAAAACCTCTTCTAATTAAAATAATTTTACCTACTTAAAATACTGTATTTATAATTCATTAATTTTAAAATGATCTAAAATTTTAAAATGAAAACAATAAAACTGCATATTAGTGTACTTGAAAAGGTTATTTATTTACGGGTTATTTGATGAAATTGAAAAAAAGAGAAAGAAATGTTCCATCAATTTAATTATATACTATACATTAACATATGTACAATATTTAGTATATATTCATGGATACAGATAAAAATACACTTATCTTTAAATTTAATTAAATGTTGACTATTTCCAAAAAAACTTTCTCTAACACATATTTCCAGATGAATAAAATTGGGGAAATAGGAAAATGAATAGTGACATTTAAGAGGCCTTTCTTGTTTTTTCCAGAATATAATATGTAATTAATTGTTTTTTTTTTAATATTCTAGTAATTTTTTTCAAATATTCTTCCATAATGTTTATCTTGATAACAATAATGACATTTTATACTGTGTATTAAATATTTTAACTTTTTGGGTTTTACTTTTTAACCTTCTATTACATAGTCAAGGAGAAGAAAAAAAACAACATTTTATTCCATAGTTTTTAGAAATTGTAAATTAAATTATGTAATTATAAACACTGATAAACATGTTTAGCACAGTTTGTAAATTACACTTTAAACGAACAAAATATATATAGAAGTGAATGACCTTAAAATACAAATCATTAAAAGATAATTTTACTGACATGTTTATTTATGTAAGTTGTACTTTTAGCCAATACTTAATATATCTGCTAGCAACAAAAATATATAAATGTTTTGATTTTAGAACTAACTGTTTCATTTTTCGGTCGATCATGCTAAAATCACTGCTTGATCAATTATTTTACAGGGAGAAAAGATAATGAAGTCTTATTAGAAAAATTTCTTAAAAAAAGGATTTAGCGAAAGTCTAGATTGTAATATACTAGTAAAAAAATACTTGGTTAAACAATTTTGATGCTTATAAATCGCTTTTAGAAGAATTGGTGGTTCAGCAGAACTTTAATAAACCATTACAAATAGTTAGTTACATGTACTGTACAGTGGCAAAAAACTTTAATAAGAAAGCTTACTCTTTGTAACTAAGGGTTTAACCAAACGTTCTATGATTATGATCAAGGCACTTAAAAGGTGATCTTATGATAACAAAAATCCCAATTTTAAATTATCCTCTAACACAAAATCTAAATATACATTGGTACATTATCTAATAAGTTGGTGAAATATGCGAAGTTACCATTTATGGACAGCCATAAATAGGTTATTCAAAAATATTTTAACGGTCCTATGTTGCTTCTCTACCCTCAGTGAACACTTGACTAGAAAAAAATTATTGTGGCATGTGATTTTCAAAAAAACAAAACACATTATTCCAACTACTTGATAGAATTAAAAAGGTGTAAAAGGATTTTCATTTATGTTTTGCAATTGCCCTAGCATTTATTACTGCAAGTTATTCAAGAAGTGGTCGACAATCAATACCAACACACACCATAAAAAAGACAAGTTGAACGAAAAATTTTTCGAAAGCAAATGCATTAGATTGTTTTGTAGTACTTATTATTTTCTTTCACTTGGCAAACATAAAAAGATTAAATTTTAATTTTTTTTGACGTATTATTACTGTCTTGGTTGCATCCGAGCGATTAAAATATAGCACACATAATAAATGGATATGGTCAATTTTCGTAAAAATGTTAGAAATTCTCTTTCAGTAGCTGTATAAAAGCATGATAAACTTAGTGTAAAGTTCAGATGCATTACCTGAATCGAATATATTAAATCAAACATTTTTCTTCAGCCAGTCTTAAATAAATTTTTTATCTTACTGTTAAACTCAAAAGTGACAAGCTTTGCTTATAAATCAACAGTCGAGAGATCTTTTGTGAGTGATTTCAGATTGCCAGGTTATGTCGTCTTATTTCTATTTGCCTCGTAGAAATAGTTTTATTGCAGTGTTCCAGTCAAAAGAAGATTTAAGGACTTATATTCAGAAACTGATGGTTGTGTGTTTGATCATATGTAGATAGGTTACAGAAACAAATGTCCCCACGGCAACAATCAAACACAACTTTGACTAGTTAGTTTACCATATGTAAGCTGAATTTTTAATATTAAAATAGATAAGTGTAGCTTGTATTAATGATTGATAGTTGAAACTGTATGTATGATGTAATGATTTATTTGATAAAAACATTAATTCTCAAGGTAATCAGACCAAGGTAAAATACCTTATTGAAAGTTCATATATATATATATATCTGCAGCTATCCCTTGATAATTACATTCATATCAACGAGCATACATATGAATTGGTTTTAAAATAACTCATTTTATCGATTGAATCTTAAGCAATGTCTTTCTAAACATTTTTGTAGATACTGTTGTCTTCCTGCATCATAATAGTAAATTTCGTTGATATAGGTAAATAAGCTAAAATGTTCAGAAAGATTGCCTTTAATTAGTGTTTTAATGGTATCCATTTGATCAATAATTTAGTGTGTTGAATGATGTTAAGCATTTTCAATCTGTTCCTAAATACCTTTTTATATAATCTTTTTGTGTAACGGTAATTATAATGTGCAATTTCTTTTGATAATAGATCAGAAGGAACATTTACTTGGTTTATGGCTCAACAAATTTAATCATAAAGTGGTTAACGTTCACTAAAATGAGACACATATGTAACTCTTACGAAACTTTTATTGATCAGAAAATTAACACTGGTAACTCTTAAAACCTCTATACTATAAAAATACTAGGCCTTATTTCAATAACAAACAAATCAGAGTTCAGATTTTAGCTATAAAATATAATTTATTTAGGCCTTAATGAAAGTGTATTGATATTCCCAAAAATACTGTTGATGAGCACAAGTTTATCTTATTGAGAAAATAATCATCCATATACATGCAAATGAAATCTGTTTCATATTTTCTTAAACGTCAAGTACAAGCTATAATGTGACCGATCACAATCTTGATTTTATGTGCTTCTAGAATCTGTAATATGCATGCGATTACCAAGTGTATATTATGTATAAATTATGTAACAACCATAGGAACACACGGGCAAAATTACTATATACCTTGATATAAATATATTAAAATACATAGTATTCAGCTAAACATTTACATTTTATAATGGAACCTTCGAAAAATCGATTTGTCGCAGGTGTTTAATAATCAAGATCAGTGAATGCAAATTTTGAAATAATATCATAGTAACCAGATGTTTAAACAATCATTCATTTGAAATAAAACTTGATTATAGCTTTCAGTAATAAAATAATTGCTATTATCTCCTACGTTATTTTATATGTATAATGAAACTAGTGAACTAGTTTGTAACCAATAGGGTCACATTTTTTAGCACACTTTTGTGAATTTTAAAGGCTCAGCTTCAATGATCTGCAAAACCCAGTTTAGCTTCATTGAAAGATACGGATTTTATTTCTGATCATAACATTATTTTCATGTGAAATTTAGCTATATTAGACAGTTTTATTCCAATTTTCACTGTTACCAATAATATTTTTAATAGAAGAGAGGATAGTGAAATGTTCTGTTACTTTCTGTTTATTTTATAGCTT